CTCTTCATGTTGAATGTTATTGCTTGTTTTGTTAGTTTCAATGTGTAGGAGTCACCAGTTCGTCCTCGAACCAGCTTTAAGATGTGGGAAGAAGGAAGTTTTTTAGAGGTCACTGAATGGGAATGTGTGAAAAAGGCTGATTTGTGTTTGCAGAGCGTTTCCAGCTGGTCGCGGCCCATCTGCCACAGAGTGGAGATCAACTGGTGGAGGTTCAAGAACTTTCTGCCGTACTCAGCGGCGTCAGCCCCAACCCAGCAGCCATCGCCTTTGGCAGAGGGGTACGTACATGCCGCCACAGCTAATACCAAGAACTGACTACCTCGACTTAATCTGTCAGGAACTTTAGTTTGACAACTGAAGTTTCTCGAGGAAACAGTATTTTAGAGTGGAGTATATGAAAGAAAGCTAATGCTTCTTCGCTGCAGATTATTTTAGTGAATCAATGATCAGCTGTTCCCAGTGAGTCCCTCGTCCTCCATTAGCTTTCAGCTCCTTCGTCTTGGACTGCAGCCGGTGTTCTTTGCTAGCCCAGCACCACATGAACCAGTTCTTCCTCTGCTACAGGCTCCGATTGGAGTGACTCTCCAGCTAATCACAGAACTATAGAAACAAGGACAACTGTTGCGAGCTGCATCCCAAAGTGTAGAATGATGTTGGAGTCGGTCTGACTGCAGGATTTTTTTGGGGGAAAGGTGCTGGGTGGTACCGAGGCTGGCAGGGAAAGAACAAGGCAGTGAGGAGTGGAGGTTGAGGTAACAAGTTTAGCAGTCAACGTTGTCAGAGAAAATACAAATTATTACAGGACCAGACTTTGGTGACATGAATGTGCCAAAGAAGTCTGCCTGAGGAAGCAGAAATGTGGAGCTTGTGCGCACTTCAGGGTGTTATAAGTCCAAAACTCTTTATCATTGTACTTCACTGTATTTAGCAGACAACAGTTCAAACGTTACTTCAGACTGAAGTGTTTTAAATCCAAATGTGTCTGATGCTTATCGCCTGCTTTAATCTTCACAGGGAGAATTTATTGCTTCAGTGAACGACTTGCAGCTGGAGGTCTATTTCTTCAAGAAGCAGAAGTCGTACAGGTGAGAGTGAAGATGGTCACTGGAGGTGACTTATATTTTTAAAATTCAGGCTCCTATTATTTATTTCTCCTGTTCCAACGCTGAATGATTATTTTAGAGTTTTGTTTAAGGCTTCAGGCCGCTCTGAACGCTCAGCTTCACACAGCAGAAAAACGTCTCTTATGTGGTCATATCAGTTGTGTTCTGTTTGAGAGGTAGAGCCAATCAGGGGAAAGTACTTCAAGTGTCAGAGATTCTATATTATTTAAAAAAAACTTTTACAGCTGCTGGGCTAGATGTTAATTTTAAAAGGTTATCGTGTTAGTTTTATTTATTTATTTTTGTCATGGAGAGAAGCAGTGCTGCTGTCACACATGACAAAGGCCATGTTGTGTTGGCTGATGTTCAGTAACACCAAACATCTGTCCTGCTGCTGGTTTTTAGGTTTTTCCTGAAAGAAGACAACAAAAAGGGCGGCTGGAACACATTCACATGCGTCGCCTGTCACCCGAAAGATGACTGCATCGCCACGGGACACGAAGACGGGAAGATCCGCCTGTGGTGAGGGACCT